AAGGAGCGTCTTCGGCACCTCCCTCCATTTTTTAAACTTTTGAATTCCTTATTTTTATTGCATTTGTAATCCATTTCACAACTTTGATGCATGATTTATCCCTGTCATATAAGAAGATAAATTTGCACGCTAGGATCTGTAAAGCTGTATTTATTCATGCCATACATAAGCAAATAAAAAATTCATTTCCTCTTATCTTATAGAAACTTCTAAATTTTAAGAATAACTGAAATGTACAAACATGAAGAAATTGAACTGTGCACCAACATTGGGTACTAAATAGAACTACAGTAGGTGACAGCCTTAGAACGTTAACCCTAGTCCTTTAGTTCAAAAGGTCGCTTTAATCGCCTTTGCCCTTGTGAAACGAAGCAAAGCGTCAGAGAGATCCAAAGACTGGCCAATGGCATTATCAAACAATAAAATAACAAGCAATGTCAGTCTCTCATTGGCCATTGTCAATTGAAGATATGTTTTAATGACCCTGAGCTTTGCAAAGCTGCTCTCACCATTCGTGATTGTGACCAGCATCGTGGGCAGAATCCGCAAAGCTATCCACACATTAGGGAAAGTGTCTTTCAGTTCTGCATCATGAATGAATGGAGAACTTGGAGTGGAGAGTGCTTCCCATGTGGCAAAATGTGGCAGATGTTGTCCCATTTGACATAGAGGTCTTTATCATTGATGTCCAAACATTCCCCATGTGTCAGCATCCAGTGAAGGTCTGTACAATTGTTCAAGAGTGTTTTCCTGTCCACCGGCAGCTTACTAAGGTCATACAAAACCCCCCAGGTCTTTTGTGGTGTTTCATTTGTCCAAACCTTTCTTCGATGGACACTCGAGCAGTGTTAAAGAGCAAGCAAAAACATTCCTGTTTAATTTTATTTCTGAGCTTCCCACTACTCATCTCTGCTTTCGTAACCAAAGTGTCTCTTCTTCTGATGAATATGAGTTTCCTTGCAGACACGCTCAACTCCTAAGTTTTCCACCATTTCTTTGGCAGCAATGATAGCATCTTCAAATCCGTTGTCTCTCTTGGCCACAACGAAATCAAGGCAGCTTCTCATCAAAGTAGTAGAGGTCATGATGTCTATTAACTATGTTTGTAATGCCTTGTTTACACTGTTTACTGGGAACAGAGTATCATGCCAAACCACAACTGAGACCAGAAATTTGAAGTCAGTGATTTGGTTTGACAGGCTTTGCCCCTCATGTTGAATTCCAGCTTTGACGGGTTGGATCACAGAAACCCCTCAGGGAGCTGCCACCTGATGTGCCAAGACTACTTCTGCCCCTGCTTTCCTGCCCTGTCAGCTTAGGACTTCAGTGCCCTGCCTGGTTTGCGAGTGGGGAAGTATTGCCTCTCATCAGTGCCCAAGGGTGGTGTGTAATTTTCCCAGGTTACGGGGGGGTGCTCAAGATGGTTCTGTGTTGTATTGTTGAAAAGGAACCCCTAGATATTGAACCTGGCCCTGGTTGCTGCCAGCTCCACCTGGCAGAAGGGTTACAAAAATAATAAAAAATAGAGTGGTGACAGTGAATCATAGTGTTAGGGTATACTTAAATATGGATAGTTGTTTATAATTATAGAAGTTTAATAATTATTAAAGATATTTTGGGTGGTTATAGCAATAACAAGATGGCAGTCGCAAGCAGTCACATTCAGAGAAATTCAAAATGGAGGTCTGGGACCGATTCGGCCAGAGCAAATAGGTAGGCTGAGGTGAGATAAAGGTCGCTCCAAAACCTGAAGGGAGTGTGATTTGGCATTTTTGTCAAATGATTTGCAACAAAACCAGAACACTTTGTCAGTTGATTTTGAGTAAACTAGCCAACGCCGATTCAGTTTCTCACCATTCTTGAGCACCCTTTCACAGTGTGACTTTTAGAAGTGTCACTTCTGCTCATTTACTGGAAATGTCATATCCTCGATTTTGCCTGGCCCATTCAAAATTGTACAATCAATATCGGTAGAGTTTAGGATGGCCGGACATAAAGCAAGATCTGATGTATCGATTTGTAGTGTACAGTTTTTCTCACTGCGGTTTCTGTCATCATGCAAGGCTGATTCTTCTTTATCTTATCTCTCCTTTTCATGTAAACCGGATTTTTCTTCATCGTCACTCTCCTTTACATCACCAGGAAAACTAGACGATTCTCCATCACTTTTCTCACATTTCCATTCCTTATCGTCAGATAAATCTGCTTATTCTTTAGTAATAGGACTTCCATCATTTTTATGCTTCACTCCTCAATTTCTTCAGCACTGGGACAATTGCTACTGCCAAAAGCCGGGTCTATGTTGTTCAGTTTCAGATATTTTCCCATCAAATTTGCCTCTTTGTAAGCGGGGGTATGGTCCCGCTATTTTGGGGGATTTTCCTGGCTTATACATTACCCCAGTGAAATGGGCTAGTGAAAGTGCTCCCACTTCCTTTACCCAGAGGCCTGCCTGACATCAAGGGCTCCCCTTCCACTCTCCTGTGTGTCTGAGTCCTCATAATCCCAACAAGGCTGAGGCCAGGATTCCTGGGGGGCTCGACCCCAACCTTGTCGTTGTCACTTAGGGCAGGAGCTAGGGTGTCCCCACTCTGGAATGCTCTCTCTACACTGGATGCTTCCCTGACCCACTAACCATTACATTCAGTTCAAAGCAAATACAATTAATTCAACAGCAATCAATTAAAAAAAATAAGGAAAAAAATGGGAAAGATTAAAGGAAAACACACAACCCCGCTCTGTGGCACGGGGACATCACAACCATCAACTCTGGAATGTAAGTGTAAGCGGGGGAATGGTCCCGCTATTGTGGGGAACTTTCCTGGCTTCTGCACTACCCAGGTGAAATGGGCTAGCGGAAGGATCTGAGTCCTCGCTCCCACTTCCTTTACCCAGAGGCCTCCCTGCCCTCGAGGACTCCCCTTCCACTCTCCTGTCTGGCAGAGTCCTCGTAACCCCAACAAGGCTGGGCCCAGGATTCCTGGGGGGGCTCAACCCCCAAACTTGCTGTGGTCACCTAGGTCAGGGGCTAGGGTGTCCCACTCCGGGGTACTCTCTCTCTGCACTGGATGCTTTTCTGACCCACTGATCATTACATACGATTTAAAGCAATACAATTTAATTAACAATTAGTTTAAAAAGGAATAAGGAAAAATGGGAAAGGTTGAAGGAAACACATCACCCCGCTCTGTGGCAGGGAACATCACAAACAGTGTCTCTGGAATGTCAGGGCAGTTCACAGTCTGTTTCTTGTAGGTCCCAGGCCTCCTTCTCAGGCTCTGGCTGTGCTGCAGGGATGCTGCGGGTTGGACACTTGCTCTGGTGGTGGCCACACGCTCTCAGGCTCTGGGTGACAGGACCCTTCTTCCCAGCATCACCTCCGCCCTGTCAGGGTTACGATTCCCCTCCAAGTCTGGCCTGCAAGGCCTCTTGGCTGAGGCGTCTCCCCGTGCTGGGCCCGCTGCCCAGGGTCCCTCTCACTCTTCCCAGCTGCTCACCGCACCCAGCTCCGGACTGCTCCAGCCCCAGCCCCAGCTCCACTCTGCCTCAGCACGGCTGCGGCTGCTCTGCCTCCAGCTCCCTGGGCTGCTTCTCTGGCTCCTCTGGCTTTGGTTGCTACAGCTCTGCTCCCATCACAGGTCTGCTCTGCAGGCTGCTTCTGTGACTCTGCTCCCAGCTCTGACCTGCTTCCTGGGCTGCTTTTCTGGCCCCTCTGGTTCTGGTTGCTGCAGGTCTGCACCCAGGGCAGGTCTGCTCTCTCTAGGTTGTGCTCTGAGGACAGGAACCCTCTGGCCTCCTGACTCCTTGATTAGCCTGCCCGTCCTATCAATCAGGCTGACCTGGAGCATTGGCCTCTCCCCATTGTCCCTGGGACTGTCAGTCTCAGGGTTCTGATTTCCCATCGACCCTTCTCCTTTTGGTACTGGGAGCTAGTCAACTAAAACTCAGTGGGAATGTTTAAGGGGACAATAGTCCCCTTACACCCTGCTGCAAACTAGATTGCAATTGAGCTTTTTGCTTCCTGTACTACCACAAAGCAAACCGCCGCGCCAGTGCTGCCACCACGATCTGCCGTTTCGACAAAGAGCTGGACGCGATACTTGGGGGCGACCCCACCTCCACTCCAAAGAGCACCATGGACACTTCAGAGGCCGTAGCAGCCCAGAGTTCAACAAGGCAGGAAGAGGAAAGCAGGAGCAAGGGTGGTGAGGAGGAGGGGGGCCCAGAGCCAGAAGATGGCCCGGCATCCCTAGATGCATGCAGCCAGGAGCTGTTGTCAAGCCAGGAGGAAGGTAACCAGTCGCAGCAGACGATGCTTGGGGAAAAACAAACAGCAGAGGAGGTGCCCAGTAAGTGGCTTTTATTCTGGGAAGACAGTTGTTCGATGCGGACTCCTGGGGCGAGGAGGGTTGCAGAAAGAAGGGTTAGTAGCTGTCCCTCCACCTAGGAGCCAGAGGAAGAAACCGGCAGCTTCCCAGGAGCCATGCGAAGCCAGGTATGGAGCCTGCCTGTGTCGCCAACTGGACTTTTAATGGCCCAGACGGCAGTGCTGACCAGACCTGCCAGGGTCCCTTTTCGATCGGAAAACCAGACACCTGGTAACCCTAAGCTGAACCCAGCCAAAGTCCATCTGCACCCTGCTGCAGTGGCATGGAGGGCTGCAGGGCGAGGCAAACCCTGCTCACTCTGTGCCAGTGCAGCAGGGGATGGAAGGAGGAAATTCAGACTCCACCTCAGGGTTAAGTACAGGCCAGAGCCTGCGTGGCCGGGGGCCCTTGTGACAGGAAGCAGGGGTTCCCCGCCAGGCTCCTCTGCGGGACCTTACTACCCCTCCCCCAATCCCCTGAGAGGCCTCCCCACACACGTCGCGAGCTCGGCCTGCGCGCGCCCTCGCGGCTCAGGGGCGCGCATAGGCTCGCCCCTGGGCCTGAGGGGAGCTCGGCTCCTCCCAGCATGCCCCGCGGAGGCGACCGACCGGCGCTGCTTGGAGACCGTCACTAGGGGCGGGGGGATGCCGCTGGCTGGTGTCAGGCGGCGGCACGGAGGGAGGGAGCGAGCGAGCGAGCGGGCGGAGGATGCAGCAGCGGCGGCTGGAGGAGCGAGGAGCCATGCAGCGCTGTGCGCCGGGGCCCGGCCGCAGAGCAGGCGGAGCGGGGGCGCCCTCACCACCCTCCTGCTGACAGGTTGGTCGCAGCGGCTCCTTCACTGCATCGAACGGGCGCGGCCCCGTTGTACCCCCCCCCCGCCCGTCGCCCCAAACCCCGACCTGCCTCGGCGGCCACCCCTCAACCCCCCGGCTGCGGGCCGCTCGAGCCCGCTTTGTTCCCTGCGGCCGCCCCAGTCACTGCAACAAGCACCCCACGACCCCCAGGGCAGCGCCCCCTCGATTCCCCCAGCAGCAGCTGCTCCTCTTTTAAACCTCCCACCTTCCCTTCAAGTAGCGGCGCCCATAGTCCCCTCCCCGCCGGCAGCTTCGGCCCCGCTGACCCTGCCTTGCCCTCCAGCAGCCGCAGCGATGGGAGCCTTATTACACCTCCCCCCCGCGCTCCTCTCGCTCCCCAGCAGCATCCCCTGGCCCTAGCAGGCAGCCGCCACGGCGATCATCGGCTCATTACGGAAAACAGGCGTCTCTGCAGCAAAGCCAGTTTCAGAGCCTCGGTGTCAGTGCATCGCCCAATCAGCCTCTGTAGGATTGACACTGCCCCAACTGCCCCCTCCCCTAGGCTTGTGCTAACGCTATAAAACAGCAGCCGGATGCTGTAAAAATCTACAGGAATGCTAGAGGTGATGTGATGTGATGTCCACCTTCCATGTAATTATATTGTCGGCTAGCCCCTCCCCATCCGAACCACTGCTTAGCTACACCCGGAGCAACATGCCCATTTTAGGAGTAGTCATCACTTTACATATGACGTAGATGGGAGAGAGGTACCCCTCATGGCACAGTAATGAATATGGTATGCATGCCTCCATAGATTAACAGGCGGTAGGTAATCATGGAAAGAACAAGAGATGTGATGCATGAAGAGAATCCGATGGCACAGTCATTTAAAAGAGATCTCTCTACTCAATTCAGGTAGTGAGCATATATCTAGTTTTATTGAAGGCTACAAAGATTCTTTTTTCCTGTCACCGCTATGACCTCATAGGATTTGCAGACACTTCTCCTAGCTCTGTCTGAAGCGACATGCATGTTTCTGGCATTGTGCAAATAATTACATACAATAAAGACTTAAGAATATTATGGTCACACCAGTGTCAACCACTCAGAAGTTAGAGTGCCAGAATTAAGGTTGTACAGGAAACTTTTATTCTGCTCCCTTCTGCATATGTTTATGACAGTCTTTAATCACATGATCATACTATTTTCAGAGTCCTGCCACAAAAAGCATTATCTCTTCAAGCAGAGACATTTCTCATAAAGGAAAGTGTTAGGCCAGCCTACCAAAAGGAGTGCAACCACTCCCACAAACTTTATCATTAGGGTACCAGGATTTTGCAGTGAAAAAGAGTATATAGCTGTTCAGAATGGTGGTTTATCAGATAGTTTCTCTGTCACTTTGTTGTGATCAAAAGTTCATTTCCATTTAATTCTTTCAAACTACTAAGCAGTGGCATTTGGGATCACTTACCTTAAATATGATAAGTAAGGTCACCACATGTATTAAAATATTTAAAAAATGGAAGTAATGTGAATTTTTTTGGGGTGGAGTCTAACAAGTGTTTTGATTCATATGTTTGCGGTTAATCCACCAACATAATGCAACGTGGGGATCATACCAGTTCTATCGAGCAAGCATAGATATGTGAAACAGCTCCCCTCTTGGGAGAGCAGAAGCACGCTTTCCATTGCCTCTCTCCTCAACCCCACCACAATGCTAGGATTAGATTGTCAGTAAAAGGAGGAGCTAAGCCAATCTCTACAGCCATAAATTTTCAGCAGTTTTAACTGGATAGATACAGAAAGTGAAAAAAAATTAATGGGTTTTGGAAGATTAGTTGCTCATTTCTGGTACTCACTGTGGGAGACCTCATGTTATTTACATCTACATTACAGATGAATGGGCTCAGTGTGCAGGATATAAGTGGTGTAGTCAATGAAGGTTAACTTCAGAAGGGATAAACCACACAATTAAAATAACAGATTATCATTTGTTTTTAAATCTAGTACTTTTAAAGGTTTTTATGAGTTTCTGGAGTGGGAATGTGGAAAAACTAACCCATCCGAGGCTTTACAGCGTTGCTTTTTTTAAAGGGTCTGACAGTGTAACCCATGTGAGCAAGGTATAGGATACAGTTGTGGATAACTATGTGTAGTTTAAAAGACTGCATCATAATAAGAACTGTATCTTAGCATGCGGTTGCCATTTACATTATATCAAACTTCTGTAATGCTGTATTTATTGCAGTATTAGCTTCATTTACTTGTTTCTTCAACTTTATAAAAGGGGTGGCCAAACTGTGGCTCATAAGCCACATACAGCTCTTTTAGGGTGAAAGTGCAGTTTGTAGAGCTCCCCTTCTCCCATTCTCCCCCTACCAGACTGGGACAGGGGGAGCTCAGGAGCTTCTGCCCTGCAGGGAGGGGGTACTCAGGGCTTCAACCCCAGGGGAAGCGACTGCCAGGGCTTGGGGCTTCAGCAAGAGCAGGGCTGAAGCCCTGAGCCCCAGCAGGCACATCCAGCTCTCAAACTTCTGAAGATTATTGTATGTGGCTCGGAGGGTCAGTTAGTTTGGCCACCCCTATTATAGCTATAGATATCATCCTATGCTCTGGGTTCACACACAAAATACAGAACTGCCCATAAGGTAATCATCCCATACCTCTCCCTCTTTAATAGCTTAAAGGACTTTGCTGAACCTGAAAGATTAAATAAATCTGGCCTCTGGTGACCACTACTCAATGGAATGGGGAGCGAGTTCAAAACAGACGTCCCTAAGTTATCAATGAGACTTTACCATAGGATTCTTTGCTGATCTCAACTCTGGTAGCGTGTCACAGAGGGTTTGTCCTCAGATAACCAGGGCTTATCTCATTCAGGGTTATATATTTGAAGACATTCACTTAATTCTGAATTCTTACTTGCACATCAATCAGGATTTTGGAAGCAATTCAACATCCCCTAATACACTGAAGCATTGTTTTGTTTTTAAATTGCTCTTGACCTGTGCATGCAACATCTACTGATACTAGTAGATGGTCTGCATGTTGATTAAGGGCATTGCTTGAAGTGTTGTCTTCTGCAAGTTTGGCTAATTAAGATCTTACTCTCTCCTCTAGTTATAGCACTTGATCTGCAATAGCACAAGTCCAGGCTCTTTTCCTTTTTGCTTCATGATGTATAAATAACAAAGGTTTAAAAAGGTTTATTTCAGAAATAAAGATTTTATTAACCCTGGGGGGAAAAAAAACATGTTGACTAGAAGGTATATCATTTGAGACTAAAAAGTGAAAGGGTATGGGATTTTTAGTTATTGTTTCAAGGAGTTTTTTTGTTGACATTTAATTCCACTGTCTAATGAACTTTAAGATTCAGAATCCTTGATTTCTTCATTTGTGATATGAGAGTTAATGATGACCATCTGTGACCTCTTCCCCCACCCTTGGAAGTTCTCCAACAAAGCCAGGGAAGATAAGACTTGACATTCCTGATATTGCGGTAGAACAAGCTTTAAAAATGTTTATTATTTCAAAGAACTACTAATTCAATAATTGCTGTTAAAACTAGGCTGCATTATCAAGTCATGATTTCAGACATGGGGAAAAGAGTTTACTAGAGTCTGAGATGAAGACCTCTCCATTATCCCAAGATTAAGCCTCATACTTGATTTCTCTCTTTGAAAATTTTTATAAATCAGTCATATTTCCTTTAGAGTCAGATTAAGGGAATCTGGAGCCGTAGACACACATCCCCTTGTGGCTGTTCCCTTGCAACCTTGTCCCCATTCCACAGCCCTGGCATTCCCCCACCTCCTCTATTAGGAGTGGTAGTGCAGGGGCTTCCTCCCCTGTAGTAGAGGCAGGGATAATAATATGGGTGCCTCAGGAACAGTAAGAAAGGTCCCCTCCCCCTTTGGAGAGGCAGCAGCAGAAACATTAGACCCCCCAATACTTACTCCAGAAGTTGGGGCATATCTGCTTATGAAACTGGGCTAGACCCACTGCACTTGTCTCTTCCTGCCACAGAATGATCACTAGAATAATGTTTGCAGGACCACACAAGCAGTGGACTGGGTCTTGGCAATAAAACCCACTGAAAAGAATGGAGTAGTTTGTACTCTCTGAGCTACTGTTTCTGTCCACCTGTAGATTCAGACATCACTGCATCAATTACTTTGTTTTCTTTTTTCAGTATTTTCTTTGCACCATGAGGGCTAGAAATGTATTTGTTTAAGTAGGAGTTCAGATTCTTACATGCATGACTTAAGGAGGAGCAGCCCTAAACAACTAGTGCTCATGCCTTAATCCATTCCATATTGTCATTTCTGCTGACATAACACATCATCAAAAAGAAATATAAAGCTTTTATATTAATGAGATAAGTAGATACAGAAGGGTGAGTCTTTACAATAGTCATCTGATTGGTTTGACTGCAATTATGGAATAAAGTTTTTTTGTTTATGTGGTGGCATAATTTAGAAGGAAAAAAAATTACAGACTATTTTGGATATTTGAAAGGTGGATTTACAATTTCTCATCAAACTGAGGAGTGTCATCAGATAGTTATACAACTCTTTTCCCTCCGAAACTTGAAGAAAGTATAGAGTCTGGACATTAGAAATCTTGGTATAGATCTGTAAAGTTCCTTAATTACATTTTCTTGAATTTGTTTTTTATCCTGTAGATTTGTCTTTTCCCCCCAGTTTAGATAACTCTACAAAGTTGCTATTTTAATTCATTCTCATAAGAATAAAAAAGTAACCTTTGTAGTACAGAAAGAAATATTAATATTTTAGAAGCAGATGTAGAAACTAAAGAACCAGTAACAGATATCCTCCCCCCACCCCATGCCCCTTAAGCCAGTTGAATGGTTTCTCATAACACATTAAATAAAGGGGAGAGAGACTAGGATTGGAGAAAACCTCCTTTTAGCAACCTCAGTTTTACCTGGGAGCCCCAATGCAAAAGATAATTTAAGGTTATCATAAGTTTTCTGTTTCTTTATTTTTACAGTTGACAATATTTACTGTATTGTAGCTAGTTACTTGTGCTTGTGTGTGGTTTTTCACATCACACCAGGGAAGAGAAAATACACATTTACAGAAGTAGTAAAATGTGAGCATAAAAATCACATATCATGGTAGAGGCGGTAGGCCAGATGTAGTACCTGAAAGTGGCTAACTTTTTTTAAAAATTAGGTAGACTTCAAGTTGACAGTGAACATTTAAAGGCTATTAGTATGTTGTAATTAAACTTCAGAACTTCTTATTTGCTTTTATCACGGGCTAGGCATTCCCTTTCTGATAGTACAAAATTATAAAATAAATTAACTCTTAAATTCTCTCTTTTCCAGGGTATAATCAAAGTCCAATAAACAGCCTTACGTTTGTAAGACATAAACCAACTCCAAAAAATAACATCCTCTTCTTTGGGGAGAATAGCTATCTTAAAAACACAGCTTTTAGTTCTTTCCTTCTAATCTGGCCACGTCTTGTGTCTTCCTTCATTTATACATAGCAGCTGTGCCAGGTAGGTGCATGAGGTCCAGCTGCATCTACTCTTCAGCCCCTTAACCATTTCCTGTTTGACTCCACAACCCATGGACACAATATTAATATGCAGAATGTAATTATAAATTGTTCTGAAATTAATGTAATTATAATATTTTTATGTAATATCAAGCGAGGTATTTGAAGTACCAGTGAGGTTGGATAGTATATATACCATGCCCCACTTGAGGTTTTAATAATTTTAAGGTGGTATGATTTATTTTAATAAAATTAAATGCTCAGGAAAAGTCTGGAGGTACTGTCTTTGAAATGATGTGTTCCATGTTCATTTAGCCATTGGCTTCTTTACTGAGACTTATCAAATGTGTAATGGTGGTTCTGTGAATTGAATATCCACACACAAGAAAATGCAACTAGTGAAACTACTTCTTATTGGCCACTGAACAGCTTTCCAGTTCTGTCAACTTTTGGTCATCACCAGCTTGGCTGGATTTGAACAAATGGCATAGATGTGAAATGTTTTTATCTTATTTCAAAGTCCTTGGAGACATCCAGTTTCCTTATAATTAAATAATGGGAGTGAGAGTTAGTGGAGTACCATAAGTCCAAGTGTGTCAAGGAGAGAATAACAACAATTTTAAAAAATACATTAATTATGCAGAAATTTCAATGTCTTGACATTGATTGCTTCTGTTGACTTTACTGTGTTTTTATTTAGTCCTTTAAACCCATTACCATCTTCCAAATCTGAAACTTCTTTGCTTGTTTCTAGTCTAAGGGCTGCTGTAATATAGATCAGCTGGTGATAGTGCCAAGGGGCCATGACCATCTGGGGATTGTTGGCACACAGCCTGCCTGGCCATGCCCTCACCCCTCCCCACCTCGACTATGTCAGGGATTCTAGAGTATGTGATGGGCAGGAGCCAGTTACAGTGTTTTTTATCAGTGGGGGATTAGGGGTTTGTGGCCTGGGCCAGAGCAAGTGGGGGCCCCTCCCCACCTCTTCTGCCTGCAGTTGCATTCCTCCCTGGCACTCCTGACGGGGAAATGGGGTCAGGGCACGGGGGCTTGTCCTGCCCTGCCTGCCCGACGCTCCTTCCCCCACATCCTAATCCTGCTCCCCGGCAGGAGCAACATGTGGGTGGACGGAGTGGGGCAAGCCCCTGTGCCCCAATCCCACACCCCGGCAGGAGCACCGGGTGGATAGAGCACGGCAAGCTCCCATGCCCTGACCCCGCTCCCCGGCAGGAGCACCAGGCGGAGCAGGTTGGGGCGGGGGGTGCCCATTTTTCCAGGGCTGCCCAATTGGCCGGGGCTGTTGAGCACAGGCCCCATTGGCCTAGTGGCTAATCTGCGACTGGTTTTTATGCCTGCATGGAAGATCTGACCAGTTTCCTTTCCCTTTTCACTATTAGGATGTATTAGCTAAGACATTTTAAAACCCTAGTGTAGCCAGCACAAGTAGAATTTGAACGTTAGCACATTTTTATCCTAGTGTGGCCCACCTGCCCCTCCCATCCTGGACTTTATTCTGATTCTTCACTGATGGGGCTAGACTCTACCATTCCCTTCTCCCCTTGTCCCATCCAACCGGCTGCTGCTTTCCATTGAGCTGCTGGAGAGAAGGGAGAAAAAGTCATGTGCCAGAAGAGGTTTTGTTTTAAATAAATAAAGGGGGATTTAATGTGTGGGGTTCAGCCCTCCTAGCCCATTTATCATCAGTCCTCCCTACTTCCCACCTTTGGGTCCGAGGCAAGAAGCTACAGCTTGACATTATCTTTAAAAATCAGACAAAAGCAGTTTAACTTCATTTCAGAAGATTAAAACTTGTCCTTACCCCAAACTGAATACATGCAAGGCTGTTGATTATAACCTACCCATTTCCCATCATATGATGTTCTTCAACTTCTTTAAGACATCCTTTTGTTAGTAAGTTAATGGGCTGGTTTTTTAAAAAAAAAATCAGAGGTAAACAAAACATTGATTTTGCTATCATTCTGAACTAAATGGCCTTGCTGGTAGAAATTACATTGATTTGAAGATAAGTGTTTCATACATTTAGAACAACAACAAACATTCCAATAATAATATATTGTGGTAAACTCTAAATCACACACACATTTATATTAACTGTCACAGTAAACACTTTGATATATAGCCTTTATATTTAAAATTCCTTGCTTACTTGCATAAACATAATCCTCTATTGAACAATGGATTTGAATTTGTTTTATGAGAACTTTAAAACAAATATATTACACATGGCACATTATTATACTGGATGTGATGTGGAGCACACTTAGGCCCATAATGATTCACTTGGTCTTTGGGGAAAATCTAAATTGCTTTGTCTTCAGCAAATTGTTAGCCAATTAATAGTGTAGTATTAGCGTGAACTGAGTGTGACTTGTTGTTCAACCTCTTATGCCTTGTCTACATTGCACTTTATCGGTATAGGTATACCAGTACGTTATATTGGCAAAGCACTCGTAGTTCGGATGCAGTTTGTACTGGCAAAGCTGCACCTTTACCAGTATAGTTTTTTCTAAACCCCCATCCCCAGAGCAAAACAAACTATGCTGCTAAAAGTACAGTATAACTGCATTTGCACAATGCGCTTTTGCTGGTATTGCTGTGTTGGTCATAGATCACATACCATCACACCCTGTCTGATATACGTAGGCTGTCCGAAGTGTAGACCTGGCCTTATTTGGAGATTGCATGCAAAAATGGTGACTGCCAGAGGGATATATAAACCAGCACCATCTATTTTATTTATTTCTGTTTCTACACTCTGAAGAAAAGTTGAAAACAAAAGCTGGCTTTAAAAGAATCTGATCCCAGCTAATGGCATTTGATCTGTGGGAGTCTGTTAATCTGACATTAATTCTTTTTTTGTTTGCATTTATTTTATTTTGAAAAGCTTTTTTGTTAAGCTCTGCTGAAGGGATAAATGGAACAATTAACTGGAAGACTAAGCAACCCAACAGTTATATTATCAGCAGAATAAGGGCTGCTGAAAAGAATGGTGAGTTTAGGTTGTAAATTTAAATCCCATTGTGGGTTCAGTCAACATCTGCTTTCAATATTACCTTTGCTTTTTCAGTGAATGTTTATTAATAAAATGACATCTCAAGGTAAGTAATTTTGAAAAACAATCTTATAGTTCTTTAATCTTCTAAACTCAGGATTCTGTATGTCTTTATGTTTAGTTTCCCTCGGGTTTTTATGTTGCCTATGGCTTTGCTTAAAATAATGGCTGTGTGTATAATCTAATATTGCATATATTCTTCTCACTGCTGGTTGCTTAAAAACATCTTTGCAGTGTGCTTAATGCAATAACTTGTTATAACTATTAAAATAATTCATTCCATATCTATATGTAGAAAAAAACAATTTTTATTACTTATCTGTAGGAATACACATAGAATCTGTAGGAATACCCATGCGTCTGACGAAGTGGGTATTCACCCACGAAAGCTTATGCTCCAATACGTCTGTTAGTCTATAAGGTGCCACAGGACTCTGTCGCTTTTACATAGAATATTGCAGCTGAATTTTACTGTGACCAACAGTTATCTGAGAAAATGCCAGTAACTTTTCATGCATCATCTAGCTAGGTGAAGGATCTGGATCTCCCTAGAGCTCTAGCTATGGCCAGGATCACCCTTACCCAGGGAACCTGGAAAAGGAGCTCTGGAGGAAGAAACTTCTATATGGATTCCCTTGTGAAGATCCCCCAAATTCACTGTTGAGAAGAATGGGTTTCCCCCCTTTCATGCAGAATAGACTGCAGGCCTGTCACCAAACCTGGTTGATCCTCTGAAATCCATGGGAGTGCAGAGTCATCCACACTGAGATCCTGGTCCTCTCTGCTAGCTATGGCCTCTGACAGCTCACAGCCTCTAGGCTCTCTGACAGTGCCGCTCCAGTGGGGTGATTTCCTGGCTATGCCTGTCCCCAGTATCTATGGGGAAGGAACACTACTCATAAGAGGTAAAAAAGAAACACTTCTCATAAGAGGTAATACAGTCTGAGGCAGTATTATTTTCCCAGGGGAATCCTTACAGGGCCAGAGAAAGACAATTTATGTTTCCTCTCCCCTCTGTTCCCAGCCTGTCTACTTATCCCTCAGGCCTGTGCAGCTTCCAACCCTTCCCAGCATGTACATCCCAGGATTCACAGAAAGGCATTCATGGAGTCAGGGGGGAAAGGAGGAGTAAAAACAGTGCACTGAAGGTAGATAATGCCCCCTACATGCCTTGAGAGCACCTAATCTGGGACCATATCATGTACGAACTTTAGTAAGAAATGAAATATTCTTCGGTAGCAGACACAGAATGCTTCCACAGTAGCCCAAAACTTTCCCCTTCCATGAGGTGGAGTCACACAAAAACTGTCGAATAATATTCAGAATATTTGGCAATCTGGCTCACGGAAATGACATGGAATGACACGGAAATGGGAGTCAGTGAGAATGTTCAGTTACATCTTCTGACATTTTAGGACAGTTGCACATTTTTCTCCATAGTTGGTCAGTCATAGAAGATTGTTAAAAGGCTGCACAGCCTGAAGATAACAAACTATCCATAAATGAGATATTTTCTTATCAGCTGGAGAGGAAGAGCAAGTGGCATATTGGACCGAAGATTCACCTTCCACTTCCTTTCTCATTTTGAAGAAACATCAGGGGGAGGGAGAGGAAAGGCTGTGAAAGAGAACTTTCCAAATACCAGTCTCCAGAGTTGTGTTATTACAGTTCATATGTGGTTATAAGATAAATATATGTAAGGTCAAAATTCATCCTGTACAATGAATAGAATATATCATTCAAAGTACACTGAATTATACATAAGTAAGAAGGATGGTTTAGTGGATTAGATACTGGACTAGGACTTGGGACTAGGACTAATGGAAACAATTCCCAGCTCAGCCACAGGCTTTGAATGGCTGTGTGGACATGTTATTCAATATGTAAGATTGTCAGCCCTCCAGGGTTGTCCTGGAGTCTCCAGGATTTCAAGATTAATCTTCAGTGCAAGATTATGTCATGTGATGAAACCTCCAGGAATATGTCCAACCAAAATTGGCAACCCCATCAATGTGCCTTGTGCCTCTGTTGTCCATCTCTAAAATGGAGATACACCTCTACCCCAATATAACATGACCTGATACAACACAAATTCAGATATAACACAGTAAAGCAGTGCTCCGGGGGTGGGGGGGGAGAGGGCGGGGCTGCGCACTGCAGCGGATCAAAGCAAGTTTGATATAACGCGGTTTCACCTATAATGCGGTAAGATTTTTTGGCTCCCGAGGACTGCGTTATATCGGGGTAGAGGTGTATTTCTGTACCTCACATGGGTGCTGTGAGGATAAAATCCATTAATGAGTATGAAGCTTAAATAATATGGTAATGAGGGCATAAGTAAGTAGATAGCTAACATGTTAAAATACTAGGGACCAATTAGTGGAACTGGGATTAGAAACTAGTATTAAAGACTGCAAATAGGAAAATGTAGGGGGTTTATTTTCTCAAAATATTTTAGAGTTTGCCCTTTAAAGGCAGGGGATTATTGATTAAAACAGAAGGGGAAGTGGGATTAATGTATCTTTTCTTTTGTGGATGCATATCCTCAATTACGTTAGCATTAATGAAGCTAATATATACCCAGAGGGTAGAACTCTACCTTTCAAGGCCCAATCTAGATTAGGAAAATAGAACTGTTTTTTAAAAGATGTTTGCTAACAGAGTTTTAACACTGTTTTAAACAGGACTTCAACTTAATGTAGAAAGAGCGACTACTGCTTAAATGTGTTAGTTGGTTTTGGTTAACCCAAGACTCCACCTGGGTAACGGTATTAATAATAATAAATGATTATATTAGAATAATTACAATAACACTATAAACTAACTTACAGGGTTATTGTCAGGGTTAACTAATGTCTGTAACATGCTTTGTAAACTTAAAGCATTGTAGCACTGGTAGGCAATTTTTTAAAATATGACTTTATACTAGGTGCTAATTAGTGTTAAAAACATTAATCCAAACACATCAGTGAACATTTTAAAACACACTAATTTTTTCAGTAAAGAGAAACCCTAGCTTCCATTCCAGCTGTGGGCCAAATTCTAAAGCTGCTTTTAGGATGTTCAACATGGTAAGGTCATTTTTAGGATTAATTTGTTCCTCTGAAGCTTAGTTTTAACTGTCCACCAATGTCATCATTTTACATCTGCAGAAAGTCCTCAATGGTACACTTACCTCAACAACCGAATATGTCCCATTACCAGGAGCACCCATTGTAGTGTATGTGGGAATATCCAGTAAACTGCCTATGTAAGACATAATACATGTCAGAGAAATAATTTTTCTGCAGAAATTTCCCACTATAGTCTCTCTCATTAATTCTTCTATAAGTATTCCTTATAGAGAAAGTTTACCTTACCTTTTCATTGATTCTCCTTTTTGAAACTGATCTTTGCTGTAGTATTAAAGTCTCAAGGTATAAAGCAAAGCATCTGGAACAGAAAAATAGATAATTTTTTTCTTTAGGTTTCATCAAGTCAGCATATTTTTCTCACCTTTTCTGTTCTGTAAATAATCTTATTAATGTTACAAATTACTTTTTCAGATTTTCTTGTTAGATACAATTTCCTATATAATTCTGTTTCCTTGATCTATTTATAGTTCATTTACAAAAGCAAGTGCGAGACTTTATTGGGTCACTAAGGCAAGATGGTGGGTGTACTTACCAACTTTGATTAAATGCAGCAAATTGTTCTAGGTTAATTTAATTAAATGAAACCTGCTTTAAATATATTAACAATAACTGGTTTATTAATGCAGATTTTTTTCATAAAATGTATTTACATTTCAAGACTATTTGAATTTATTCTTATTGATAAAATTATTATAAGGTCTGGCTGTTTAGTATAATCTAATAAAAGCAAAATTCACAATGGGCAAAGGCAACTGTGATAACCAGGATTAATACATAAATATAATTAGAAAAAGATTGATTTCTGGAGCTCAGTAATATATGTGGCGCTTGAAGCTATTAATCTTAGAAAACCAGGCTCAGAATATCTGGTGCAAGGAATAGAATGTTTGTTACTAATTGTTGTTCAGCAATGTTTTGTGAGCAAACATCATGCAATAAGCTTGTCCTAAAGAAAAATTGAAAAAAGAAATCTTACCTCAATTGGGTGTTATCAGCAATAAGGGCTTGATCCTGGCAGTGGGTTAAGAGGTAGTGCTACCATGTGGATGGGGATCCACAACAGTACTGAGCACACTGTGGGGATCCTGCCAATGCAGATCCCCAGCTGTGCCCAGAGCAGAGAGAGTTAAGCACATGTGGCCACCATGTAACTGGAGAGGGCAGAAGGGGCATGGTGACGGATGAATTTGGGGCATGGTGCCACGCCCTGTGAAAAATGGGTGATCTAGGTGGCAACAAGGGAGTTCAGAGTGGGCCCCCCACCAAATTTCCCTGTGCCTATTAGCTGCAAGTCCCACAGACAGGGACTTAGAAGTACCATGGCCCCAAACACATGTAGCTCTGCTGGAGAAGGAGCATGTCTGAAGGCTGGCCAGCCTGTAGTGGCTCCACTTCAGCCAGCTAGAGAACATGGATTCTCTTTTGCTTATATTGTACTGTTCTTTAAAATAGTGGATATATTTTAGAATGCTCGAGAGGCTATTTATGATAGTAAATATAACTCACTTAACACACAGTAATACAGTAAATATTGGGACATTTGACATTGAGCCTGTCTTTATATATTTATAATGGGAATGAACACAAAGTTTGGAAGATGCCAAAGAACAGTTATTAAATCAAAGATAGCAAACTGGAAACAGCAAATTTCAAGCATATCTTGTTTAGCGAATGTTTAAAAGAAAAAGGTTCACTAAAATTTGTTTCAAAAGACCATGCATCTTGAAATTAAATATTACATTAGCAGACCTGCTATTTCTACACACTCTTCCATAGCACCTATCAGAAAGGTATATTGATATTCATTATCAAATAAACTCTATGCTTGGGGGGGTCTACAGTCTTTGGGGCAGACCCTCAGCTGGCTACATTCTATTCAATGTAGTTATGACAATTTATGAGCTGAGGGTCGCCTCTTTAAATATAAAGTGGAGTTTATTTTAAGTTTGGTGAAGATGGCATTACATCCTAATGAATCCCAAATTATCAAGGAGATAATTAGAAAAAAGTCTTTTAGTATCTGACACTTTTCTTTATCCTTTTTGTGAATGCACTTAATGAGAAATAACTTAAGCCTAGGATGACTATAGAAGATGAAATAATAATTAAAAAAAACCAGAAAAATCTTCAGCATACTATGAATTTAATAATTTATGACATCAGTCTAGGAGTTGCAGATATTCTGTCCAGCCCACTCACCATATTTTGCAGCCTGGCTCATGGGAATGACAATTGGGGACTCAATGAGCAAGTTCATTTTCATCCCCTGATAGCTTAGGACAAATGCACATTCTTCTCCAGATTCAGGCAGTTGTAGAATGTTTTTTGATGATTTATAATTATGCCAACCATCTGAAATTCTACTTGACACAATGTTTTTCAAAGCTTAGCCCTGAAAAGGGCACTGAGCGGGTCTCATTTTGATTACCATCAAAGCTGTTTTTCATGAGAACAAGTTGTTAGTTCTCTAAAACAAGGGCTCTCACGATTGTAAATCCTGCAGCTGAACAATTTGAGTAAAACATGGAAGGCTCCAGGTGTGCACAATGTGAATTTGTGTGAATTGCATATCATCCCCACCCAACTCCATTCTTGTGTTGCGTGTGCAATCTGATTTTTCCAATGTTTGGTAAAATCTTCATTGGGGTTTAAAAGCAGTTTTTTCTAAAAGAGTTCAAGTTTTAATTTAAAGGAGAAATAAAAATGGATTGGAATTTTATCTGAGTCCCTTTTTATGTTTGTTGTGAATGATCCTAGTATGTATAAACTTGTAAAATTCTAGTTTGACAGAATGTGAATCTTCTTCACTTATGGGAAGATGAGGTGTCACACCAATGTATTATGTTATTGTTTAGATTAGTGCCATATATAAAACTAAGCAATTTTATATCACACATATAGGGCTTGATTTTAAAATTGGGCTCCCATTTTGAACTTGCAAATAACAGGAAATAAAAATGATGGTATGTCTATTTTTATCTGAATACCTGGTTTGCTGTAACTGCAAAATTGTAGGTGAAAAATGGGAGGCTGGATGGAGACTCCTTTAAAATTTAACTTCTGAAGTTTACCTTGAGTAACAGAAAGAAATTAAAATTCACATTATGTCTTGTCAAATATAACTGTATATACATAGTTTATATACACTTTTGATAGTAATATGTCTTTTTAGAACATGAGATGTAATCAGAAGACAGAAGCACTCAATTTTTGTAGTAAATATTAAATATTTAAAAAATGTCACTGTGGAATTATGACATTTTTATTTTACCCTTGGTGTGTGGTGTGATTAATATAATTCATTCTACCCTCAATTTGTGCACAGAACTACCATAGATGTCCGTGGGAGTCTTGCATGCAGAACAGTGGAAGAATATTACCCTATGTTCTGAGGCTATTGATAGTGTACAAATACAGAATAACAAAGAACAAGGAAAAATTACAATAAGGTATAATAATGAAGTTCTTGCTTGCATACAAACAGCCTTCATCAGGATGTATTTGACTAAATATTCATATTTAATTATTTTACAAACAAGTTATTAAGCCTGTATAGGCTACTTTGTTCCTTCTGTTCCTTATTTTTGTTGTTAAAAATATGGGGGAAATTTGATTATACACTCATATGTGTTTTTATTGATATATGGAATATCACAAATAAACAAGTTTCCAAAAAATACTCATTGGCTTCTTCATTATCTATCATTATTATAATAAAAGTAAGTATGTGATTAGCATTTGAAATATTAAAAACTGTCTAATTTTGTTTACTGGAATCTTGTACAGGACTTGGAGGATACATAATGGGCAAAGAGAGGATTTGTTTTGCATTGTATTCTTAAACCCACACAACCTTTTAAAAACTTATTAACAGGTATCTAATGCTTGTTGCTTTCCTTTCCCTAGAAATGAAAATTTCCATAGTATTGCATGCTGTATTGTCTAGAGCATGTCTCACTTTTTACTTTTCTGTCTCTTATCTTTCCTTCTGCTTTTCAGTGTACACGATTCTCTCTAAGGTGCACTCTGATCGGAATGTATATCCTTCTGCTGGAGTTCTTTTTGTTCATGTTTTGGAGAGAGAATACTTTAAGGGGGAGTTTCCTCCTTATCCAAAGCCTGGTATGGGATGCTTAGATCTTCCATGTTATAGAAAAATATCATTTTTACTTTTAAATTCAAGATCTCAAATGTATCTAGAATAATTTGTGGTACAGTATTGAACATGTATCACTTCAACACTTTTAACGTTGGTTGACTCTTCTATACTGGTAAAGTAAGTGGATAATTTCAAGTGGTTTTAAATCTTAAGGCTTATGAACTACAGGTATGCATTGCTGTGCATCTTGAGAAGCCCAGTTATGGATTTTGAAATGTTCAGTAGCGCATGTTATGAATCTAAGATTATAATCTGGCACTTTTCTTTGGTATCCCATTAAAAATGTAGTCGTACAAGCTTAATTTTAATTTTAAAAAGATTGAGTCATATGGTGATTTTTGTAAAATATGCCCCATTTGAGATTGTATCCGTTTCTTACAAAATAAATAGTGATATTAACAATTTGTGTCAAAAAGCATCTTATACATTTTATAAAATTACTTTAAATACACAAGGAACATTTAAAATAAAAATTTTAAATGTCTTTAGCATAGAGCAGTGATGATTATTTTCTTTCAAATAAAATGAAAGCTTCCTTGGTTTCAATCCTATTTTGTTTCTACATGCAGTAACTTTTTTAAATTGTAAATCAGTCTTTTGTCATAGAAAGGGCTATATTTTCATAAGTGTAGTATTTTGACTTGCATCCATGAAGTAAAACTAAAGGAAGATCATTAACAAGATAGAAAACATAGGTTTGAATTCATCTCAAAAACTATATGAAGATAAAGGACATTTCCCCCCACTTTGTTTATAAATTATTTAGCCTTCTAGAAGCAAGTAAAATTGAAAAGTTCTACTTCATTGCCTTGAAACCACATTGGGGAAAAATAGCATTTGTTTGAATGTCATATGTTTAAAATATTCTCAAGAGAAAAAAATAACTTAATTTGTTTTTATTTTCTTTAATCTTCTCTAAAGGTGGATGTTTTGACAGACCCTTACTCTTGAGTTTGTGCTCCATGTGTATGACTGCTGGAGCTACAGAGTTTTACTGTCAGCCAATAATATGGTGAAATGTGCCTATCTCAGGCCCAGTTTGTCCCCTCCTGAGATAACAGCTTAGGGATGTAAATGGAAGGAATTTGAAAGTCCTTTCCTAATTGCAGATTGTCTCTAGAACATTGCTACCTCAACTCCATGTCTGAGGTATGTTACACAGATGCAGTGTGAATCTCTGACTTGTACAATTGTGACCTCATGATCCACTGAAATTGCCCCACCCGTAGGCATCATGAATACCACATTGATCATCAAGACCCAACATTAGGATGACCAGATGTCCCAATTTTATAGGGACAGTCCCGATTTTGGGGTCTTTTTCTTATATAGGATCCTATTACCCCCGACCCCCAGGCCGGATTTTTCACACTTGCTGTCTGGTCACCCTACCCAACATTTGCAATATAGTCCTTGTTTAAAACTATTGTGTATGACAAATCTGCTCTGCCGGATCCTTAGCATCATAGAGCCTTTCCTGGAGAAGGACTTTGAAACAAGCCACATCTCAGACTGCTGATGTATTAAAATTGACTTTGAGGAACAAACTGTGAAATGGGGTAATTTAGGATGAACCCTAGCGACTGTAGCACCCTGGTGAGATTATTCCCAGAGAAGTGATGTTGGGAGGGTGTTCTGTGTTGCCATGGTAACATGTTTAACTGATGTCTTAGCATATTGCTGTAGTATCGTGGTTGATTCTCAATTTCCTCTGACACCCTGAGGTTTCATTGATTTTTGAATTTGGTTTGTGTTTAACTCACCAATTAAAATGAAGACCATCCATCATCTGGGTTATGAAAGTCCAAATAAGCAGAAGTCAAAATCACACTTTCTTTGTCCAGTCTCCCACTGTTGCTTCCTGGGTCTCTCTTCTTGAGAGTCTGCACAATCTTTTTCTGATGTTTCTCATTCTAGGGTACAGGTTCTCTTCCTGAATGTCTGTGCAAACTCTCACTCCATTCATGTAGCGAAGTGAATGGGAAGTTCTTCCTGCCCTCTATTGGCAGCTGTACACTTGGGCTGAAAAGAAAACAAGTGCCTGGTTCAAACCCCAACCCCCCATGTTCCCTTCCCCGAGGCTTCTTCCTTCACTTGCTTCCACTTGTTCTTTGCCCTTCCCAACATTACCTAATAAAACAGTCTTAAACATCGAGCTTCCTCTTCTGGCACTTCTTCTCCAGCCATCCAGTTCTCTAAGTGGTACTTTTGATGGCCACTGCCCAGGGTCCTTCCAAGATACTTTCTGTCCACAGCTCCTAATCGTTATCTGCATCCTCCGGCTGTGCGAAAAAAGAGCTGCTTATTTACCCTATTCCCAACATACCTTGCCTGGAGTTTCAAACTTTCATTCACTTTAGGAACTACAGATCACAACATTCCTGGGGTCTGTGCTGAAATCAGGAGCAGGACAGTGTTCAATGAGGAGCCTACCCTTAAAGGGCCAGCACACCATATGTAAGTGTTATTTTACCAGTTAAAAATTGTATCAGAGAAATCTTGTTGTCCTCTTGTCTTTTCGGCTATCACAAATTTCTTAAAACAAAATACTTTCCCACTTCTGTCCTGTGGCACAAGCTTGTTGGCAGCGATTGCCTCTTTCCAATCTTCTGATCTAGGGGTAAATTTGGAAGAGTTTCTCTAAAGCAAATCTGTTGCTCAGTTGTCAGTGTTGAGAACCTATGTGTCTTGACACATGTTAAGGTGTGAAAAAAAACAGTTTCCCTCTTACAGTAAGGTCCTCAGAGGTAGACATTGTTTCTAGAGCCTTTAAAAAATTAAAGGTTTTTGTGCTTGGAAATACTGGGCTTTGAATCCTTTTGCTTCTGTTGGTAGTGAGGCTGGATGATTTGGTGTTCTAGGAAACACAGGCCCCTGTGAAGCCAGGATCTAGCAATTGATGGGTGGAAGCAGAAGGGGTCATTAGGGCTCTAAGAAAATACAAGCACACTCCACTCTGCTGTTGGCTATACATTTCAAATATGGGATTCCTGTCAATTACACATGCTGAGGCATGGACTCAGGAGTGTGGCTCTCTCAAACTGCACTTTTTTGATAATAAAAAATTACAGTTTTATTATTTCCCCATGGAACTGCAATGATGTGTTACAAAACATTATAGTAATTGTGTTTATATGACAAAACTGAACTCAAAATTATTTAATGGAAACTTCAAAAACAAGGTGCATAAAGTTCATTTTTTGAAAACATTCTAATATTGTGTATCTTATCTAGGTGAGATAAGTAATGATCCTATAACATTTAACACCAACTTAATGGGTTACCCTGACAGACCTGGATGGCTACGCTACATTCAGAGGACACCATACAGTGATGGAGTGCTGTACGGATCACCAACTATAGAAAATGTGGGCAAACCTACCATCATTGAGGTACTTCCTTTAAAAGCATCAGAAGGTTTTATTTCATTTTTTAAATCTTTATCACTTAATGTAAAATAGTGTGCAAAATAACTTCATGAACAATTAAATGAACATCTAAATATTTAACTTTGCACTTCTCTTTCCTAGAAATATACCACTTATCTTTCCCTTCAGTGCAAACAAATACAGTTGTTAAATCAATAAACAAATTTTTTATTTACTTTTTATCACTCAGTGGTAAATTATTCATGTTTACTTTTGTAACTAACACCAAACCATTTTCCTATTCTAATCTCCTAATTACTAATGCTGACAAAAATCACTATTTGTTGTATCTACATCACTAATATGAATATGATTCTAAAATTTTAAAAGTACTAATTATATAGTGAACAGCAGTTGAAAGACAAAACCTGTATGATTCTCAGTCATGCCTTTGGTCCCACACCACAGATTAGCAAGTCAACGGGACAACTCTGCAGCTCACAACATTATGAAAAAATTGCTAAATATTATATAGAGGCAATATAATATTTTCTGTCCTATTATCTATCCCTTTCTTGATGATTCCCAACATTCTGTTTGCTTTTTTGACTGCCGCTGCACATTGAGTGGATGATTTCAGACAACTATTCACAATGACACCAAGATCTCTTTCATGAGTGGTAACAGCTAATTTAGACCCCATCATTGTATATGTATAGTTAGGATTATGTTTTCCAATGTGCATTACTTTGCATTTATCAACATTAAATTTCATCTGCCATTTTGTTGCCCAGTCACCCAGTTTTGTGAGATCCTTTTGTAGCTCTTCGCAGTCTGCCTGGGACTAAACTATTTTGAGTAGTTTTGTATCATCTGCAAATTTTGCCACCTCACTGTTTACCCCCTTTTCCAGATCGGTTATGAATATGTTAAATAGGACTGGGCCCAGTACAGTTTTTGTTTTATTTGATTTATTCCCTAATAAATAGGTGAATGGTTTTTTCAATCTTTTATAGGAGTTTTAAATATATAGTTTGTGATGTAGCTGTAATAAATGATTTATCTATCTTTTGGATTTATTGTTAAACTGAAATTACAAATAAAAAAAGGAAAGAATGCCACTCTAAATATTAGTGCTACAGTTAGTGTTAGTTTTTCAGCAGATTTAATTTTGCAGTGCTAAATTAATTTTTGTTAAAAAGCTCTCAAATTAGAGATTAATTTTCTATTTTTTATTAACATTTCTTATTCATAGAGTACACTATTTTTACAATTTAAGCTTTATTCTCTTCACTTACATAAATTTGCCTGTAACCGATATGTCAGACCACTATCCTCTCCTCATTCCAATCCCTTTCAAGAGCCACTTTTACTGGGACACCTTCAAGAAGTGAGCTAGTCATATTATTTTTAACTAGTGTGCCCCACTATGCTATTCCTATCCTTTCCTGAGAGACTGCATAATTTCATTCACGTAACCACTATCCTGCCCTCCACCTTCTGATATTTTGTTACCTCCCTTTGTTGAATCATGTCAAGCTAGATTGTCAGATCTTTTGGGCAGAGACCATCTATTTCTATTTGTGTTATGAGACATCTGTATTTTTGAGGGTAATGGGGAGGAAAGGGAAAAATACACAATTCTGATATACCATATTCCAAAATTCTTATGAGTTCAGTCATGGTATAACTTTTCAACATAGTCAAAGAATAATCACTGGGGACTGTTTGGCCATCAGATGAATACCACAGATCCTTCATGCATTTAAAAGGTACCTTTCTGTGTACTTGTACGTAATTATATCAGAGAAATTTTTCCCAAAAATAAGGAGCATATACTCTGTATCTCCCAATAGCTTTCAACACACCTAAAGATAAAGACTCTGGCATTCTTATTATTTGTATTGTGGTAGTGCCTAGAAGCCCCATTCATGGATCAAGGTCCCATTGTGCTAGGCTCTGTACAAATATACAACTAAAAGTTGGTCACCATCCCAAAGACCTTACAATGTTTTTTCCTATAAATATCACCAGTTAGGTTAGCTCCTCCAGGAGCTAAGAATGAATAGAAACCTTACAGCCTTCAGGACAAAATACAAAACCCATCTCTACTCTTTGACTTTATCATACTTAGGTCAATAAAAGAAGAAAAAAATACAGAAAAACAAACGAACTGCTCCCTCGTGTTCCTGAAATGGAGCCGAGAGAGAAAAGAATACAGGACTAGGGTACGCCAATCACTTGTATAGTAAATATGTTATCCATGTGGTATCTGAGAATATTAGTGCAGTATAAATAACTACTAGTGTGAAAATCCCAGTAAACTGTCTTTATTTAATATAGCGCTCCTTCAAAGCCAGTAGGCCTGCTCATTCATTTATCTTTCCTGTTTCTATATAGTCCATAGAGGTTATATTTTTACTATTCAAAAATAAAAATAATTACCATATATACTTGTTCATTAGCCCATTCGTTTATAAGCCGACACCCCAAGATGGATAAGTAAAAATAACAAAAAACTGTATGACCCTTTCATAAGCCAACCCTATATTTCAGGGGTTGGAAAACTTTGGCTCCCAGCCTTTCAGGGTAAGCCGCTGGCAGGCCGGGCCAGTTTGTTTACCTGCCGCGTCTGCAGGTTCGGCCGATCACGGGAACGGCGAACCGTGGCCATAGGGAGCTGAGGGGCTCCATGCCTGCGGACGCTCCAGGTAAACAAAACGACAATTTATTAGATATTCAATTCAATGATTCCATAGAGCAGGGATCAGCAACCTTTGGCACGCAGCTCGTCAGGCTAAGCACCCTGGTGGGCCGGGCCGCTTTGTTTACCTGCCGCGTCCACAGGTTCGGTCGATCGCGGCTCCCACTGGGCGCGGTTCGCTGCTCCAGGCCAATGGGGGCGGCGGGAAGCGGCGGCCAACACATCCTTTGGCCTGCGCCAAAGGTTGCCGATCCTTGCCATAGAGTTTAAAATCATCAAATTTTGGTGTAGACCTGTTTATAAGCCGACCCCCGATCTTTGATGCGTCACCTTTTTACCAAAAATATTCAGCTTATGAACGAGTATATACGGTACATATATTAGTGAATATTTTTAATTTAAGAAAAACAATATTTTCTTTGCTGAATTCATTAATTTTGGTTTTCATATTTGTACTACCATTTTGGTGTCATCTGTTTTTATTCTAGATCACTGCTTATAACAGGCGCACCTTTGAGACTGCAAGACATAACTTGATCATTAATATAATGTCAGCAGAAGGTATGTACAGAAGAGATTTTGCAGCGCTCTAGATTGTATAAGTGATAAATTGTTAAGATTACATGATTAATAGATTTGACAAAATACTGTCAAACATTAAGCAATGTTTCAACTAAAAGCCTGAGTGGTGAGGAGGTAAGGGAAACTTCCCTGTCTTGATTCATCCTGTTTGTTATTTTTTGCTAAACCGTTTTTGCCAGGGCTGATTTATGCCTGGTTCTTAAAAATTCTTCTGAAGAGCCAACTTTTTTGCTTTTGGAACCAAATTGTACCAAACTGTATATTTTCTACACCTACACCAAATACAAGGGATATATCTCTTCTTCTGTGAAGTATTTGTTTTGAAACCAATAGTAGTGAGAGCTGTATTTGAAAAGTGCATCAAGCCTTTGAAGTTAAAGGACAAAGAAACATGCAGGGATGTCAGCATTATTTTGCATCTCAGTTGGTTAATGAAAGATATATCTAACTGGCGAATTAGACTTTTAAAGCATAGAATGAAAAACTTTTTGCAAAGTTAGGGACACTGGATCAAATTAAGCAGTGACATAATCAAGTACTGCTCCACTGAGGTAAATTGAGTTGCACAATTTTGTCATCAACAATAGTAGATATTGGATTTTGAAATGGAGGCAGGGAGGCCCAATATGCTTTTTTAATGTCTTTATGAAAGACAATGAATTTCATAATATCAAACGCTTTATACAAGCAGTGACCTTAAAGATTCAGGTTGCCTTGCAAAACAGCTAGTTGCATGTTCTATCAACTGTCATTGAAAAAAATTCTCCAGATAAATAGAATGAGCTAAATTCTAATTTCATTTATATTGGTGAAAATCTTGAGCAGCTCTGAAGTCTATGGAACTGCTCCAGACCTACAGTGTTGTTAAGTCCAGAATCTGGTTCACTGGGCCACATTGAGCAGAAATGTAGACGGTAGTGCAGGTTAGTCAAAAAAAGAGCATAAGTGTTAAAGAAATGTAATTCGCATTGATTTAGTATTCAATGGGTAGGCAAAACAAGTGTCATACACAAAAGAGAGTGTCATAAGAGAAGCACATAACAGAATGTTTTATGATAAGGTAAAGGGCTGCATTCTCTTCCACACTTTTCCTGTTATATACTCTAGTCAACACCCCCCTGTAAATAAAAATCCTTATCTACTGCTGCTTTTTTCTGGGAGCAGCTTCTCTACATTCTTTTAGTTTATTATGTAAACTCATTGGATATATTCTCTCCTATTCCACATACAGAACTCCTATTCTTGTCATTGGCAGTGTAATACTTACATTGAGTAGAGAATATGTCCCATTATCAGAAAAAAATATGGGTGCCACAAAGCAATAGTGGGTTTTTTCTTTTTCCTTTTCAAATTGTCATAGGGAGTGCTTAGCATTTTGGCCTCCATCCAGCAATGCATTTAAGCACATACTTAACTTTATGCACATGGTTAGTTCCATTAACTTTAATGGAACTGCTCATATGCTTAACTTTAAGTATGTGCTTAAGTACATTGCTGAATCAGAGCTGTAATGCTCAGGGCCCTGCAATACCAAGCCTTCATTCCCTAGATTTTAAAAGCAACACATAGGCTTTTAACTTTGATATGCCTCTTGAATTTATTACTTATTTTATAGCTAAATCCCCACAACATATAGAGACCCATAGCTGATGTATCACCAGACGAAGAAAATCCCTCCAAATGCATTTAGGTAACTGAAATGATTGACTACAGTTAAATCATAATGCTGAATGTGTGACAATCACTTCCACAGTTATAGACAAATGTCATAAAAACTCAGAAGGAAAACTGGTATGTGATCACAAAGCATCTATCTATTCTAAAAGTAGCAAAAGAAACAAGGAAAAATGTCAGACAACAATTTTTTGCAAACATTTTTTCTCCTCAAATTTTCTCCAGTGTGAACATCCCTTTCATCTTCATAATGTTACTATGTTGATTTGTACAATATACCCTATCATGCTTAACTAATAACATCTGTTTTATCATGAAAGATTGTGAAAGGCTTGTTTTACTAAATTTAAAAGCTAGTGCAAAACTAAATAAATAAACCAAGTGAAAAAATCAGATAGCATCTCCAAGAAGAGTGTAAAGGATTTAAAAACGAAGCATATTGATATTCATTTAGGAAAACCTGTGTTCTTCAATACAGTTTGTAACCAGATTGCAGTATGTAACAATATAAGTAAAATATTCAGTAGTCTGTAAAATCAGAAAACAAGACATAAATACATGTAATTTGAGTTAATGAGACCTGTAAAATGAAAATTCTTCTGGGTTTTCTTTAATATTTGAAAGAAGGCTTTTTTATTTTATCAGAGCTCTGACCACTACTCCTGGCCTCCGCTAAGTACTTTTAGAATATCTATCTATGGGGAAAAAATGAAATGTGCATATTGAATTTGAGTGTGCACTGGATACAAATGCACAGTACCACAAAAATAGTTGCACATAAAACATAAAACTCAGGTGCAGCAGACAATGTTCTGTGGTAACTTTTACATTTAAAAAAGTAGATGTTTCAGGTTAACCAAGTTGCAAACAAATCACAGTTCAAAACTGAAAACAATACAAGTCACCTTAAAAATACCAACACCACTGATCTGTCTTAAAATTAGAGCTGGGCACACTTTTTCAGGCAAATTGAATTTTCACTGAAAAATCTGTTTTGGTCAACCTGAATCTATGAATTTGACACTAATAATTTTGACCATTCACAAAACAACCAGAGGAGGAGGAGGTGAAGTTTGTGGTGGTAATGGTGGTGATGCTGCTGCATCTGCTACTGCCCTTATATTATTTAGCTCAGTGGCTAGGGCATTCACTTGGGATATGGGAGATAGAGGTTTGAATTCCTGCTCTGAAATATACCTGATATGGAATTTCTCAATCAACTGAAAAGTCAGAAAAAAATCAGATTTGGTTTGACCAAACTGATTTTTTTTTAAAACATATATTTCAGAACTGTCATCCAACTGAAAAATCAGTTATTTGCCCAGCTCGCCATAAAATTTAGCAGACCATTCTAATTGTGGGTGTGGACAGTTTGTGCATTTTGAATTTACTGATTACTTAGACAAGAGGAAACTAAAGTGAGACCTACAATATAGTCTGTCATCACCTTCAGTTTCAAGATGGAGTTGTGGCCTATTGCATTTACAGGTTCCAGCCTACAATATTTCATCTTGAATGAATCATCTCATGCCACTCTGGTCAGTGTATGAAGCAATGCAGGCTGAGACTTGTAGTCATTGCAGGCCACTCCTCTTTGCCCAAGAGTAGGGTAGCTGCAATTTTCTTCATTTAATGCAGATTAAGTGTTGTCTCCAGGGGGCAGATCCTGTGCAGAGGTAAATTGTCATAGTTTCATTGAAGTCACAGCACTATTATAATTTACACCAGCTGAGGATCAGCTCTCAGGTTATTTGCAGGTTGCCAGTAGCTCCATCAATAGGGCAAAGCTTGAGTGCTTCTTTAAAAAATAGTTGGTGCCATTATAAATAAACATAGTTTGATAATTAAACAAGAGTGGCCAGATCAGAATATAACTTGGTATCATAAAAGGATTTTAGGAAGGTGCCTCCTCAGTCTTCTTTAATAAGTCAGTAGTGCAGTACTCAACCACTATTTTAGATCTTTTGTAATAGACATAACTCTTTTCCTTCACAACTAGATTTTCCTTTACCATATCAAGCGGAGTTCTTCATAAAGAACATGAATGTAGAAGAAATGTTAGCAAGTGAGGTTCTTGGAGATTTTCTTGGAGCAGTGAAAAATGTGTGGCAACCAGAGCGTTTGAATGCTATAAACATCACCTCAGCTCTAGACAGGGGAGGCAGAGTTCCACTTCCTATTAATGATATGAAAGAGGGGTAAGCACATGTGTATATATATCTAATCTGTTTATAAGTCTTTAGCACTCAAAATAAGTGTCACTGAAGTGACACTGAAGTGTTTAATGTTCCTTTCAGGCATTCAAGACTGTTTGGAAGTTACTTTTTAAAGAACAAACTTTTGGAAATTGTTATTAGATATTAAAAATACATATGTACCCAGAGGCCCCAGATGGGGAGATCAAGGTCTTTTGATGTTAGGTGCTGGGAATTTACAATCAAAGAAACATTAACAGTTTTCCCTGCTTAGAAAACAGGTGGAAGGAAATAAGACTCTCTTAATCTACAATTCCAGTCTTATATCCCAGTAACTCCAGAGCCTAATTTTGATTCATGACTCTGAAGTTCTATAACATAGACCTCACAAAACTTAAAATTAGCTCAGCTGCATTCTGTTCCAAACATCACAGGCACATTTAAAGCTACATCTTCCAATACTATAGCTCTTAAATTTAGAGTTCACTGATTAATATTGCTTGTGAAGGGGCTCATTCCTTTGCGTTAGAAGTTTTAGGAAAGTTTTTTTTAAAAAATATACAGATAAGAACTTACTGGAGAAATACGCCTTGAGCAAAATTTTCCTTTTTTAATGTTTTTTGATTGAGAGGCTTCTTGAAGTCTGTCACTACAGTTGAACAGCAGCTAAAGAAAATCTGGCACCCAACCCCCAAGTAAGGTATCTGAAATTTGTTCATTGAACAGTGTCTTAAAGTGGATTATTTATGTATTACTGTAATATATGCTGGCTAGTAAACTAACTCCTGGAATTTTTAAACACATGAACTAAAGAGATACGCAGCTTCCTCATCCTGTGTTAGCCACACCAGTGTATATAAGATGCTACATAGAGTTTCATCTGTGGTGGTTTTGAGTATTGCTCAGACTGTGCTCTGTGTACTCCCTGGCAAACTGAACCTAAATTCTGCTTCAAGGTCCCTGGATTCTGTGACTTTTTGGTGCAGCAGATTATATTCTGTAACAGTTTCATTTATTCATTTCAATTGAGATAAGTATGAAAATGAATAATAGTATCAGTACAATAGCCCTTGTTTTATTTACTTTGACACTAAAATCAGTTTGTTTTGTCCCACACTCTGCTTTCAGTATGTTGTAAAATTTTGTATTGACAGTGCATAACTGTCTTGTGGAATTTGTTGAGAGAAGCTGGATGTTTTGACAGGTTGGCATCAATAATAAATTAATAAATTGCAGTTCTAATTTAAAGCATTTTCAAATACATTTTACAATTTACATGTGGGAAGAAGTGCTGATATATCCATGAATTTTCAAGAATGCTATGCTGAACAAAATTTTCTCTTATATGAAATGGAACTATTTTAACAGAACTTCCTCAAGTACTTTATCAATGATTTATTGCTGTTTTTACCTCAAAATCCTGAACTTTGAGCTTCGTAACTTTTTGAAAATGAAAACTGACTATTGCTAGTCATAATCACACAGTACACTCAAGCAGTAGTAGGAATGTAATAAGTAGCTAGAGAAACAGTTTGGTCCCAGTTCATTGGGCCTACATTGGAAAAAGTGATGTCATAGCCTATAAAACACAACTAGCTGTTTTAGAAATGAACTGTGGTGATCATTGGAACACAGAGGACTAGACTGTGTTCATTAAATATTTATTTATTAATGGATATCCTGATGACACTTTGTCACACATCTTTTTCTGCAGTGTCTATGTTATGGTTGGTGCAGATGTTCCATTCTCCTCATGCTTACGAGAAGTGGAAAATCCACAAAATCAGCTGAGATGCAGCCAAGAAATGGAACCTGTAATAACTTGCGATAAAAAATTTCGTACTGAGTTCAATATTGACTGGTGTAAAATCTCTTTGGTGAGTCACTTTGTGATAACATAAGAAGTGATGTGTTTGTAAATGCGCTACTTAGAGCTGAAGATAGTGTGGCCGAGTATTTTGCAAGCCTCACTAAACAACTCTGCCAAATGCACTCACTTGTGACTGATCAGACATAACTCTTCCTTCAGCAGAGACTGCTAGAATGTGGAGGGATTTTGCTATGTGGCTAGAAGTGTATTATAGTGCAGGCAAGACTAAAACCACCAAATTCAGTTTCCTTTGTGGTGACTTAAGTAGGATTTGAACCCATAAATGAATGCCTGGTTCATTAATTCACTGCACTAATATGCCTAGGTCTAACTCATTAACCTAAAAAAAAAATTGACATCAGTTACTGACATACTGAGTTGAGTAATTTAGCAATGTTTATCCTTGAATCACCTTGATTGATCATTCGTGTTGTTCTAGCCATTCCTTCAGCCACCTGCTGGCTAGTGTCAGGAGCACTAGGCGCACAATCAGCATAGCGCACCACAGCCCAGAACTCCTGAGCTCAAGCAATCCACCAGCCTCCACCTCCCAGTTAGCTGGGATTACAGGCATGCACCATCACGCCTGGTTGCAATGTTTCTAAATTGTTAAAAACTTCTTCTGAACATAAACATCTCACATTAAATAAGAGGCAGAAAATGAAAATAAGATGAACTACTGGAGCCAAATGAAACTGGAAAATTTTCCTCAGGTTTATCAAGTAAAAGAGAAATATAAGGAAAAAAATAGGACTACTGTTGGCCAGGGAAGGAGAATAATTCTGATAAGAGCTGAATTTTTAAAATGGTTAGTTTTTCTCAGTTTTAAACAAAAAACAAAGAAATTGAGGAATGGGAAGAATGTAATGCAAACAATGTTAAACCAAGATGGTCAGTAAAACCCGTATCTCAGTAGGGCCAAATGAGATGTATGCAGAAATTTTAAAAGAGCTAGCAGAGTAAGCTGAATCACCTGGTAACACTTAACACATTGCATTTCTTACCTTCATTGCATTTACAAATATTAATTTATCTTTACATGCTCCTCAGAGGTATGTTAATAAACATTATCCCCATTTCACAAATGAGGAAACTGAAGAAAAGAGGTGAAATGTCTTACCAGGATTTTTTGGAGAGATTATCAGAATGGGGATTTTAAAACGTAAACATACCTAATTACCTGTCCATGTGCAGTCCAGTAGATCACCCATCCTCTATCTTTCAATACATTTTGAATCAGAAGAGTTGCCTAAAACCTGTAAAAATGACAATTATTGCAAAAGGAAGAGCCATAAAATATCCACTGTTTCTGTGTCGATTGCTGAAAAAATTAGCATAAATTAGGGATGTCTGTAGAAAGGTGTCTAATAACAGACCAATTCAGGCCTGACAAAAGTTGCTGACGCAGAGTAGTGATCCAGAAGTGGGCCTGTGTCTCACAACATTGTCTAACACTTTCCATTATAGAGATTCTTGCAATTTTTTAAAAGAAGCTCTGAAACCTCCATTGTTTGCAGCAGGCCTTTGAAATTCTGCAGGGACAAAGTCATGGGGTTATAGATATGCCTTTTGCTTGTTCAATGAAATTTTGTTCAGGTTTGAAAGTTTTACAATTAATAACTCAGTCATTTCCCTTCTGTTGCTTGCACTGGTCAGGAATTTTTTGGCAGCCTGCCACAATAATAACTGAGTATGAACATTCTAAGGCCAGTCCTGTTTCCAGCACCGCCTCATCACACAGTGTACTGAGAACATCTGGTAGCTGCCAGAGCAGCTCCCATAGCAGTAAGTGGAGTGAAGGAGGAAGTGGATTCAGACTTCCCTCTGTCTGCCCACACACCTCCCGGCATTGAACACATACCTCCCCACATCTGCCTCCCTCCAGAGCTAAACATGGGGCAGGTGTTCCCAAAAGTTTGGGAGAGGGCTAGGCATTTAAATGCTCACTTACTATTTTTTCCACTTGACCTGTTTCACACAACACACAGATTGGCTGCACAAGGAGGCAGAATTAAAATTTCACAGGAAGCCATAAATCTAGCATTTCCTAATGTTTAAGTGCTTGACTTTACAACCTAAATAATGTTCTTTTAGCAGTTATTGAGGTGTTTTTTTAATGTAACTATAAATAAGTCGTGTTTGGGTTTCAATCAATTATAAATTGGAAAACTGCACCAGAAGCAAATTTAACTTATTCAAATTAAACTGAAAATGCCCAATTCTTCTGCACCTAGGGCAAGCAGACATGCGGCTCCAGTTTTCAAGATTACACCTTTGCCCCCTTAAAATGTGGCTCAGGACAGTTTACCATACCACTCTTTACTCTTTGGACAGAGTGGTCTGTCTCCCTCCACTGGTCCTGGACTCCTTGCAGTAGTGGACACTCCTAGAGAATGTTTGTCATGGAGTTTCCTTCATCTGGCCCTTATCAACCAAGTCTGTTGTCACAGATGCCTCCCTGATGAGATGGGAAGCATATCTGGGGTCACTGTATGTTCAAGGTCTGTGTTCAGAGCAGGAGTTCTCACTGCATATCAACTTACTGGAGCTTCTGACCATCTATGGTGCGTGTCACACTTTTCTGAACTGTATCAGGGGCTCAGTGGTTCTTTCACATACTTACAATAACACCGCAATGTATTCTGTGAACAGGCAAAGGGGAGCACACTCCAGGATGCTCTGCCAAGGGGCATTCAGGTTGTGGCAGTTCTTCATCGAGGAGAGTATCACTCCGATTGCTGACCACTTGCCCAGGGTCCAGAATCATCTCACAGACCATCTCAGCAGGAATTTTTCCCTGGTCTCTGAAGACTAGTGTGAAGACCATCTTTGCAGCTTAGGGCATTCCGATGATCAACCTGTTTGTTACGAGCAACATCAGGAAATGTCATCTGTTCTGCTCTCAAGAAGGCCTCAGACTGGACTCCCTGTCTGACATCATCTATCTTGGCTGCAGTCAGCACGTCTGTATGCTTTTCCCCCAATCTCAGTCATCCCACAGGTCATCCTCAAGCTGAAGGCGGATCGGGCCAAGCTCATTCTGATTGTCCCAGTGTGACTGAGGCAGTGCTGTTTCTCTGGCATTCTCAGCCTCCCATATCCTGTCCTCTTTATCCAAACCTACTCACACAGAATCATGGTCACACTTTAAATCCCATGCTCAGCTCCCTGCATCTCGTGGTATGTCTGCTTCATGGTTAACTAAGGAGGAATTCTGGTGTTCCATGGCTGTTCAAAAGATCCTGCTCAGTTGTAGAAAACCCTCTACCAGAATGGCCTATTCATAGAGCCTTGCAAATCCACACATATCTGCTTTGCATCCATGGATGCGGATATCTGTGGATCATTTTTGTGGATCGCAGATCGGATGTGGAAACAAATTTTGTATTCATGGGACTCCACCTATTTGGCAAAATGGAAGCAGTTTTCGGTGTGGTTGTTGGCCTGCAGTGCTTAACCAATGCTGCCTTCTATTCAGGACAACTTTGAGTACTTGCTGCATCTTCAGTCACTGGGCCTTGTGCTTAGCTCATTGAGAGTACATCTGGCGGCAATATCAGCGTTATGTCCCCCTATTCAGGGAAGATCAGTCTTCTCCAGTGCCACAGTAGCAAGATTCTTAAAAGGACTTCTTTCTCTCCATCCTCCGGTCTGAGAGCTGATTCCTCTGTGGCACCTTAACACGGTCCTAGTGGTTTTAATGGGACCTTCGTTTGAGCTCCTGGTATCTTGTCCCTTTCCGCGTTTGTGTCAGAAGACTGCATTCCTGTTAGTGATAACATCTGCAAGGAGAGTCTGTGAGTTGCAGGCTCTGATGGGAGAACCTTCATGCACGCAATTCTCTACGGATAAAGTGACTTTACAACCACACCCCAAAAATTTTGTCTAAAGGGGTTTCTCTGTTTCATTTGAACCAGGTGGTATATTTACCAGTGTTCTTTCCTAAGCCATATTCATCTCCAGAGGAGCAGCACGTTCATACATTAGATGTCAGGTGATGTTTAGCCTTCTGTCTGTACAGGACTAAACAGTTTCATGCTTTGCCTCAGCTATGTGTGTCATATGCAGATCATATGAAGGCACAAGAGGTCTCTTGACAGACTCTGTCTAAATGGATATCCTCCAGTATCAAGACTGCATATGAAATGGCTTCAATGGATGAGAGTGCAAGCTGCATCAATAGCATTCCTGAGTGATGTCCCATCCTTGGACATTTGCGTGGCTGCTACATGGTCATCCATACATACATTTATGAACCGTTATGCCATTACCGCATCTTCCAGGGCGGATGCAAGCTTTGGTGGGGGCAGTCCTGCAATCCTTGTTTAGGTGGACTCGGAGCGCTGCCTCCTGGGGTGGGTACTGCTTGTGAATCACCTACATAGAATGTACAGCTGCATCTACTTGAAGAAGAAGAAGAAACAGTTACTTACTGTAAATGTGGTTCTTCAAGATGTGATGCAGATGTGTACCCCATGATTGATTCTCTGTCCCCTCTGCTTTGGAGTCTAGCCTTTGGGCACTCGGTGCCAAGGATCTGAGGGGGATCAGGGCAGTGCTGCCTCATATAGCCAGGGGAGGGACCACGCGTGTGAATACCACCCCTCTAGGGGTACTGCTAGACAAAATTCTCTGGCTCCAGTGCACTGGGTGCACACACATCTAAGTGGAATACATGGCTCCATCACATCTCAAAGAACCAATTACTGCAAGTAACCATTTCTTGTCCTCTGACATGGATCTGTACATCCCCGGCAAGCAAATACTGCTGAATGCAGTGGCTAGTGCTAGTGGCAGAGAGGCAGGAGCAGACTATGCCCCCCTCAGGGTCATGATTCCATTCAGTACTGCATCCAGTTCACTTCCTTTGAACATCAACTAGGGGGCAAAGAAACAGGTAGAAGAGACTTCATACAACCTTTTTCCAGTCATTCATAACTCATTCATGCAACAGAGGGCAGGGTTTACTTTTTAGTATTTAAGAAATGTGCTTAATATATAAATGTATTTGTTAAAAAATAAATCACTAGCTAATAATCAGATTATTGTAATACAAAAGTCGGTCTTTTGAATTTATTTTATCAAATAACAAAAATTAGTGTTGTTTGGTAAAATAAATTCAAAGGACGTATTTTTATATTACTATAATCTGATATTTGCTATTGATCTATTTCTTAATAACTACATTTTTATATTTAATCTTACTTCCGTATATAAAAATAAAATAATGCAGGATGAGAATGAGTTAGTCAAAGTGTTACTTACAATATATCTGAAAATCAGCATAATTTCTTTAATTCGGTGAAACCAGAACTTTGAATAGATCCTCTAACTTCATTTATATGACTGATCAAAAATGTTTATCTTGTGCTATGGCAATGTTTAGAATGAGTCTTCAAAAGTGCTTTTAAAATATCTATTTTTTAGTGATGTCATAGATTCTTTGGAGATAAATGGTCTTCTAATCAACAATTTTTTTAAATTACTGTTTTCATTTGTAAAACTATTCAGCTACTGAATAAATATTTTAGTAATCTTTTTAAAATTTGTCTTTTTAAGTTTTAATTTGTCACTTTATACTGGTCTTCTAAATCATCCAATAATTGATAAGACTATATTTCATCTAAGGAAATGAATGAGTCTGTTGTTACTTAGATTTAAACGAATAAAAGAAACATTCACCTTATGTATTAATTATATTCTGAAGTCTACTAGTTCATATATGTTACTATATGGGATTATTTTATTTTACATTGAGATTGAACAGGCACAAGCACAACCAGGGAATATAATTAAGTTCAAAATCCCTTATTGTGAAGTTAATACTAAATAATTGAGCTTTACTATTATACAGTAATTGATGACATTAATTTCCCCCCCTTTATTAGGGTTTGAAAGTGCTACATTGCTTCTTTCTTCTACTTTCTAGTGACTACAGTACACTTTGGGAGTGTGAGTGGGATGAATAATTGAACAGAAGCAGGATAAATATTACCTAATCGAAAACAGGAGAACTGGATATCTGAGGGAATTAATAATGGGATCTATACACCCTTTCTGCTTTATGTTACAAGAAGAGAAGAGTGAATAATGAATTTCTTTGGTCAATGGCAATTCCAAAAAAAAAAAATTTCAGCTTGAACCGAAAATGAAATTTTGACATTTTCAGCCAATCAAAAAGTTAAAAAAAAGAATTGTGTCAGTGTTTCTTTTTGTATTTTATTTCTTTTTAGAATCGAAGGAAAATTTGAAATTACAAATAATTTCAAATAAAATAAAAACTTTCATTTTGAAAATATCCAAATGAAACATTTCAGGTTTTCAGAATGTTGGGGGTAACCCTCCCCCCCCCCACAAAAAAATAAACAATTTGATTAAATTGACACTAATTTGAGAAATGTTTTGGTGTCACTGAATCATTAATTTTCCCCGAAAAAAGTTTTGGCTGTAAAATTTCCATAGCTCTAGTTAAAAGTACAAAAGCTTGCCCTGGTTGATATTGACCAAAAAATGGTTATTTGGTACCTTTCTGTCTTTGATAATTTTTCAGAGAGTTTACTGTATGCTCATTGACCACTGCTGTTATTTGGTAACTATTCAGTGACTTAAATAAAATTAATTGGTGGTCTCAGTCAAGTTCATATAACAAATTGTACCATTTTGGGGTAGTCACAGCATTGGTCAATGAGCATTTTCTGTGATTTGGTCTTTAACATTAATTAAGACAATGGAATACCTTACATGAAGAAGTCTTTGGAAAAATAAATGGAGTTGTGAGATTTCATATAATTTGAAAGGCTGTGCTTTGTAGTGTTGCTTTTTCTGATTTATGATTGGTTAAAATTCTTTTCATTTTCCACAGACATTTGTTAATTGGTTATGTAATTGTTCTTTTTTTTTTTTTGTTATCAGGTTGATAAAACAAAACAAGTTTCCACCTATCAGGAAGTGATCCGAGGAGAGGGAATATTACCTGATGGTGGAGAATATAAACCACCGTCTGATACACTGAAAAGCAGAGACTATTACTCGGATTTCCTAATTACACTGGCAGTGCCCTCGGCAGTAGCACTGGTGCTTTTTCTAATACTTGCTTATATCATGTGCTGCCGACGGGAAGGAGTGTGAGTACTTTAAAACACTAATTAGTAATTGTAGATTTTTCTGAGATTGTAATCCATATGAAAGCATTCTGTAGAAGAGTATCATTCAGTTCATAAAAATACTTTTTAAACAGACCAGCAGAAATATTTAATATATATTGTACAGTTTTCCAACTAAAGATGCATTCAAATTATTGGTAATCTCCAAGAGAATAGATTTAGGGACTGTAGTTCTATTCAAAATGGTTAAATTGTCTATGCACAAAAAAAATAAAATAAAAATAAAGTACCCACCAATTCAGGACAATTATTTAATTTGACTAAAATTTTCATTCACTGAACATTAATTTTAAAGATCCTAACACTAATAAAATAAATATTGCCAGGGACCTAAATTGAATTTAGGGTTATAAAATCCAAACATATGAAACAAAAGCAGCAAGTAACGTAGTTTCTTCCATCTCTTACACGTACCCTGATTTCAGTTTGTCATAGAATTTATTTTAGCCAGAAGCCTTTTCCTTAACTTGCATTTTCATTCACTTGTGTGTGGGTGTGGTTGTCTGTCTGTCATCAGTATCAACAGCTCTATACGTGTGCTCATCCATTTCTGATCATTAACCTGGTGGCAAATGCTATCAACTTGATTTGATGGTAACAGTGTCAGCATTTCCACATCATGTACTTTTTCCATCAGCAGATAGATTTAATGTTCCAACTATCAATGCTATTATTTAATTCATAAATTTTGTTTTGTTTTTAGGGAAAAGAGAAACATGCAAACACCAGAGTAAGTGTCTTCTTTCCTGTTATTTTTCTTTCTCATTTAATTTTCATTTCTCAGTAGCTTGTCATGCTTCATACATGTGTCATGCTCTTCTCTCACTCTCCTTGATTCACAGTCTAATTCATATATGTGAAAGCTGCTATAAAACAGAGAGGTGTGGCAAGGCTAGCAGGTCAGAATAAAAAGGGTTTGTAATTAATAAAGATCAGTTTAATGTAAAATCATTTAGAGTAATAATATTATTATGTAATTAATGTTCATGCATATGTGACTCCCAATCTACATTTTTACAAGGCAATGGACAGATGAAAGAACTTTCATGAAAGGTATCCCGTGCCTACATAATATTCTGCCATAAAATTGAAGCTTCTGTGAGTATTTAGGAATTCACCACAAGAAATAACAATATAAAAGTTACCAAAACTTTTATTTTTACAGCAGTAAATAAATGGAATATTAACATTATATTGCATAGTCTAAGATATTTTAGAAAAATACTTCTTCACACAGCAGTCTGATAGAACAAGTCTTGTTTTCAAAATTAAATAACTTAAATATTTGTTTTATACTGAAGCTCTACTATAATTGTTCTACTGATAGTCTGTAGTATGCATCAAAGTCCTTGTATTTTAAAGAAAAAACAATTTTAAATGGTTTTACAAAACTATCCATATTCTTAGAACCCTTTTTAAGAAAAATATTTATTTTATTTCCTTTTAACATAGCATCCAGTTGGTCCACCACAGTGCTATACAGAAATCCACCAAAGAGCTTCGTGAGATGTCCAAAAATAGAGAGATAGCATGGCCTCTTTCAACACTTCCTGTGTTTCACCCAGTTACTGGTGAGATTGTACCACCTCTTCACACAGACAGCTATGATAATACTAGCATGCCACTAATGCAAACACAGCAGTAAGTATCAATTTAGATCTTTAATGCCTATAATGATTATGCTATACAATTTAGCTGTGGCAGCCAATATTATTTCTCTGAATATATTAATTTACTATGTAAGTCCATAGTTAAATTTGCTTTGAAATTTGCATTTAAAGCAGAAATGAAATCTTAGTTTCACTAAGATGAACCAACAGAACTATGCAGATACATCAGCTACTTCCATTGCTGTCAGCCTCCCTCCCAAACTAGAGGAAAAATATCACTGAAAACCAGAAATGATCATTACCATTCTTCAAAACTTAGCTTGTCAAAAAATTTAATCTTGCTCTGTCCCTGATGCGCCTGTGGTGTTCTGGACATATCTCTGCTGAGTCAAGGTGGAAGGTTGGACTCTGGGAAAGAGATGTGGCTGTAGAAAGAGTGACTAGGGATGTGAGGCAGTAGTCTGAAAGTGGGGCTTGAAGGATCAGGGTTTATACCCTGGTTCACTGAGGCAACAATGCTGGGGGAGGCAGGTGCCTTTTCACAAAGGCACTGGCATATCATAGGCTTCCCACAGCATTACTGCCTGGGTCCATTGGAGAGTAGAAGCAGTAATATTGAGGGAGCTCTTTAAGTATTGATACCTTGATGCAGAAACACTACATTCTCTCAGCCTCCTTACACAGTTTTGTTCCCCCACCAAAAACCTTTTCACCCCCACATATCCCCTTTGCTCCCCTTCTTCCTTAATCAACCTCTTTGCTCCTCAGATATTCTGACGCTTCTTCCAATTCCTCATAATGCACCATACAGCAGCTCTATAGGAAACCAAGGAAAGGTGAAGGGCCATGAAGCAGTCGGATGAGGATGCAGGGAAATGAATAGGGAATATAGGGGCACACAGCAGAGGCGTGTTGGGAGAGGATTGGAAAAAGGTGGGACTTCAAGCTGCAAGAACCATTGATCATAGGAATGGGGAAGAAAAAGCAGTATAAGTTGTTAAGAGTATAGCTGCTCCTTCCCAAAAGCCCCTCCTAGCTCGTCTGCTGTTTTCCCCGTGCTCTCCACTATAACCTTGTTACCCCCTCTTCCCCATGTGCCTCTTTCCCCATATCCTCATTCACATGCACATCCTGAGGCCCCCCCTACAGCTCCATTATTGCTCACAAATTTCTTCCAAGTTGCTCCTCCACAATGTTGCTCCCCCAGGCCTCCACCTTAAGCCAGCCCTATGCCCCCCACAGCTCTGTGCGGACCAGCAATACAGGAGGGAGAACATATTGTGGAGGGGACAGTGGGAACAGGTTTGTACAGGTTGACATAGGTGAGGGCAAGTCTGCAGGTTTTAGCACAGGAAATGGGGCTGTGAAATACCCCCACCAAAAAGTTTAGTCAGCTTTGGTTTAAGGTTAGCAGTCTGCATATTCCATCACTGAAAACTGTAAAAAGCAAAGAAATAAGCTGGCAGTTAAGTCATTTAGTAGGCCGTCCACACTCCACTCTAGAGCTGGCCAGAAAATTCTCATGAAAAATTTCACATTTTGGGGTGGATAAAACCCACCCCAAATTGGGACAAAAATTTAATGGGAAGGGAGTTCCAGAAAAATTCTGTTTCAAGAGAACCAAAACAGAATAATTAGGATTGCTGGCTACAAGCTGAGAAGGCACTTGTAAGTGAAACTGAGTTGTCATTTTAATTTTCTGTCAGGAATTTTTTTTTGGCAAAAATTTGATTATGCAAAAAGGGCATTATCTGTTGAAAAATTCCTGATCAACACTACTTCACTCGTCAATTCCCCTTCTTAACCTGTATCTACCTCTCCTCCAGCATCCTCAGTCCAAATATTTCTACCATTAAATTTTGTGTAGGATGATAAGCAGTGTTGCCAACTCTTGCAATATGGTGTGTTTCTTAAAGCCCTTACCTATGGGAAGCATGTGATTAGCTGAGCATCTCAGCTTTAGTTTTTACTTAAAATGTGTAGGCCTTATGGTTGCAAAGAGAAGCTTGAAAACATTATCTAAGTGCACCCTAAAGGCTCAAAAAACAGTAGCTAAGTAAATGTTGGGTTCTTTTTGTTTTATAAAAAACATGATTGTTTTGGGGCCTGACTCATAATTTGTAAATGCTTGGCAATACTATGATATTAGAAATAGAACACTGCAATAATTAGAGAAAATCTATTTTTTCTCTAGTTCTCCAAAGAAAATATTAATGTTTACATTAGAACTACTTTTGTTGACCTTTCCAATTTCTTTGAGTGTTGGAAATCTCAGTAATAATATTGCACTAGTGCAGGAAAACCAGAAAGTGAAATTGAAGTTTCACTATCCAAACTGAATGAAATACAAAAAGTAAATAAAACAACACAAATGGTAATAAAAATAATCTTATAATTAGTAACACAAAGAGCTTTTTAAAACATTGTGTATTATTTTTTTATCTCGACAGTGTCTCTTTACTGTCATTGCATTAGAGTATAAGATTTTCATTTTAAAGAAGAATTATATGTAGCAGGTTAGGGCCAGAGTAAGGACTACCTCTGATTCGTATTTCATATAGGACACATAGTTCTTAACTGAATGTCACTTTAGTAATGTAATCTTGTTTCATATCTACACTGTATAAATATTAAGACATATTTTGGATACCAACATCATAATAGTGGATTAAATAGAAGGGATTAAAATTCTCTCCAGAGTTATTCAGGCAACATTGTTGCAGTCTTGTCTCAACCTGTACTTTTAAATAGATATCTCAGTAAAAATACATTAGAGAATATGAAATAAATTGGTTTAGAAAAATGTTTTTCTGCTTTCCTCTGCTCAAACATGCTTACTCCCGCCCTTTGCAGTCATTTTCAGTTGTTTTTCCTCTGAAGTCAATGGAAACAAAACAAAAAATAGCCACTACTGTTGAAGTTTCACAAAAACATTTTCCCATACGCCCTCTGCTGGCTCATCATCAGCAGTTAATTGACATTTCCAAGAGCAAGAAGCATTCCTATTTGTGCTTTTAAATAAATAATTTTTGTTTTTTTGCTGTAATTAATGGATTTAAACATCAAATTCACCTTCATTGATTGGCTTCTGTTTCAGTTATAAAGAAGTAATGGAGAATAGGACAAAATTAGTAGGGAACATACAGTAACAATCTGCTAATGCCCAAATGTGGGGTAGTAATCTAATGTGAAGGACACAATAACATTGTTAATGCAGGAAACAAAATATGATGGAGTTAATTTCTTCAGCATACATAACATATTTAGTAAACCTCTAGTTTAAAATTAGGGCTGCCCCCCATGATTTTTTGAAAGGTCTGTTATATTTCCAAATCTGAGAGCATTATAAACAAAGGCAAAGAAACTGCTTATCTTATCTTTATGTGGGGGGAAAATCAATCCAAGAAAGAATCTGCCATTAATAAGGAAGATGTTGGAGATGAGAAGAATGTGTATGCCCAGCTAGTCCATCTTCCTGCCAAAAAGAGGTTGTTTCTTAAAGTGCTTTCATCGGTCTTTATGGGCCAAATTGTGATATCTTTATTCAAGTTGTGTAGTAGCTTACTCCTCTAACTGATTTCGGTGTGACTACTCACCAAATAAGGTATTAATCAATCTGAATAAGGTTATCAGAATCGGACCCTAAATGTCTCATGTAATGGGGAATCCTGCACCTTTCTTGGGCATTTATTCCACAGTCTCACACATCTCTGTTTGATAACTTTTCCTACCATTTAGCTATTGCTCCAGTTATTTTCCTTATATCCCCATTTACCACTCTAACCACTCTCCCTTGTTCAGATCTTACAAATATTTTAGACAGCAATGCTATCCCCCATCTATTTAGTTCCTTTCCTTTTTCCTCATTATTCAATGCCTCTGCAGCCCCCTAATTTTACTTATTGCTTTTCTCTGATATCCCTCCCACTTATCTGTCTTTTGGTATTGAGGTACTGAGAACTAAACACAGCATTTTAGGTGTAGTTCCACAATGCAATGGGAATTGAAGGTTGTCCATTCCTCACATTATTGAGTCTACCTAAGAGGGACTATCATGTCCCTGCTCCATGACATAGCTCCCTTCCATGAAAGCACTTTTTGTCTCTGGGGAATATTATTATTTATATTATGGTAATGCCCACAGCCCATAATCAGGATTGTAGCCCATTTGTTCCAGATATAAACACATGCTGAGGAAAAGTGAAAATGCAAGAGGCCATTATCAGGCTGTGCTATCCTTGTAGGCAAATAGCAAATTTAAAATGGTGTCTTTTTTACAATTGTTATCTCCTGCCCCACATGACAGATAATAATTTTTCAAATTGATTCTTACTTTGTGACCACATTTCTGACCTTTTTAGATTTCTTTGTATTGCTCAGTCTTCATGATGTTCACCTCACAATTTGGCATATCTCACTGAGGAACATCTCCCCATCTAGCTCCTTGTTACAAGGACTATCTCTCCCTATAGATTTGTACAACACTAGCATATTTTAGTTGTTATTGTAATAAAATTAATACAGTACTAGTGACAATACTAAGGGGCCAATCCTGCAATTCACTGCTCTGCCCTCTTGAAGCCCTGATGGCTTCAATGGGGGTTCTTTGCAGATGCAGCAGCATGCCTGTATGTAGTGAATTATAGGAGCAGAACCAAAGTCCGTATCATCTTCAACATGATAGTCTCTTTACTTCCTCTCCCAGATTAGGTATTGTTATCTCTTTTGATCCAGGCAGCTAGTCCATTTTTAAGGTCTGGTGGGTTGTTTCCATCTGGTGGAGAAATTGATAATGGAATCAGATATTTCTTTGATACAATCTTATTTATTTACAAAAAATGCACACTAAATCCCATTTCCCTGAACACAGTAGGAACCAAAGAACAGGAGGTAGTTTCTTTGCTTACAGTTCCAGGCCTGCCTTTCCAGCCAGCACTCTGCTCAAAAATCTCTCTCTCCTTTTTCTCTCAGGACCATGCTTCCAGTGCTTCTGTGGCTTCTTCTGGTGGTAGACACAAACACCTTCACCAA